CCTGGGTCCCAACACCCAAGAGGCAGAGGCAGGTAGATCTCTGAGTTTGAGGCCAGCCTGGTCTACAGAGTGAGTTCCAGAACAGCCAGGGCTACACAGAAAGACCCTGTTTAAAAAAAAAAAAAAAAAAAAAAAAAAAAAGCCTAAAACAAGGTGGAATCTTGGGTTCAAAGCAACTATTGCACTGTGACACTCTCTCTTGGGTGACTTTGAGGCACATACCTGTTCGTGCCCCAGTGTCCTCATCTGTACAATAGAGGCTGAGTTTGGGAATATGCAGTGCTTAGTAATCAACTCATGCTAAGTGCTAGGCAGGGCCTCATATAGACCAGGATGGCCTCAAACTCAACGTGTAGGTAAGGAAGACCCTTGAGTTCCCGATTCTCCTACCTCTGTCTCCTTAATACTGGGATTACAGGTGTGTGATGCTGTGTCCTCTTTATGCAGCCTGGGGATGAAACCTGATTTTCTTGCATGCTAGGCAAGTGTTCTACTAGCCTGCCACTTTTCAAATTTCCTGTCTATTATTTTTATTGTCAGTGAGGTAACAGAGCCATCTGGGCTACTGCAGCCTCTGCCTGTCTCACTATCTCCAGCTGAGGAAGCTGAGGCCCAGAGAGGTGAAGTCACTGGCCAAGATCCAAATGTGGTGGCCCGAGTCTTCTCTAAACTTACCCCTGTTAGTAAGGTAACCAGTGAACAGGTAGGAGTCCTTCCCCTGCGCCCATTACTTGATGGGTTCCCAATTCTGTGAATTCTGTTTACTGTTGACCCCATTTTTCAGATGAGGAAAAGTGAGACACAGAGGTTAGGTTAGTCCTCCAGTAGGCAAGGCTAGATTTGAAGTAGAGGGGCCCAGGTCATTTCTGTGTTATGCTGCTCACCTCCCACCACGCCCTCCCCTCAGTCATATCCCTGCCAACCCCAGCTCTGGGGTTCTGAACCTATCTCTTCCAGGCCTAGACCATTACTGAGCTCTTGGCCACCTGAGGCCAAAACCACAGCGGCTGGACTGGCTTGGGGGAAGAAGCTGTTCCTTCCAGCCTGCACTCCCAGCCATGGTTCAGGTGGTTCACCGGGCAGGCGCTCTGAGGACAGTGATCAGCAGATCTGTGAAAGGGAGCTGTTCAGAGCCATCGGGTTCTAGTCGATCGGGCAGCTGGTCCAGAGCCCTGCTTCCTTCTGCCTCTCTACACCAGACCCAGCTCACCTCCTCGGCCTGGTCTTTCAGCAGCAGAGAGAGCTCTGCCATCTTATTATTCATCCGTTATATCTTATAAAGAGCCAACTGTGTACTGACTGTTCTGTAGACTCGTCAGTGAATGACTCAGTCTTCGTCCTGAAATAGAGACCAAAAGCTAATAAGATACCCTCAGAAAACATCATTTCCCAACGGACATGAGAGTCCACTGACTGGGGAAAGAGGCCTCCAGAGCAAGGGTACGAAAACTGAGATCTGAAAGATGATGTGGAAGATTCTTTAAGATAAAAGAAATGACATGGGCCAAAGATGACAGGAATGAAAGAGCTTGGTGCCTTGGATGCAGGGGAAACCCTCAGCAGAGCTGAGGTGAAGTAAGGGGGTTCCCATACCTCAGCTTGTGTGCAGGACCTTATGAAAGTTAGCAGTCCCTAGCCGGACAGCTCCCAGGGGAATATCCCAGCCTTATCTGCCCCAACCAAGTTCTCTCTTCCTGGCTTCCCCGGTACCTTGGGCCTCAGAGGTCTTGAAACTCTTGGGAATTCCGGTTGGCCATCATGGAGTGTCCCGTCTGCCCTCTCGCGGACTCTTTTTGGGGGCAGTCAGTGCACCAATTAGCATCTCTGTGTTCCTAGCCAGTTGTGTCTGGCTTCAAATCCTACCTCCAGGAGGGCACATGGGAGTATTTAAATCCTTTGGAGTGTTGAGGTCCTCATGTCAAATGGGAGGATACATTTTTATTTGGCGTTCTTTTGATGTGTTGAGTGGACTGAACAGAGAACGGCACTTGGTGAAGGCTTAACTAAGAGGTTATGTTAAAAAATAACGCACCCCGAGTCCGCAGCCCTGGGGACAGGGACCTGGTTTGTCTGGCTCGTGGCAAGGGCACAGCAAGATACAAAATCCGTGCAGATGGGTGGGTGGAAGAAAGGATGATGGAATTAAAAGAAAGGAAGACAGAGAGAGAGAGAGAGAGGGAGAGGGAGAGAGAGAGACAGACAGACAGACAGACACTAGCTTTCTTCCAAAGGAGAATCATTCCTCTCTGCTGGTGCCTGGAACCTCCGGGAGGTGTACCACACACTTAACCTGCTGTGCGCCTCAGTTTCCCCTCTGTCGTTGGGCCGGGACAACCCTCAAAGAAAGAGGATACCAGGCACAGGCCCCCAGTACTGCCGGCACCCAATAAGCGCTCAAGGAAGTGTGGCCGCCCGCCCTCCCTGCCCTAGCTCCGGGAGCCGCCAGCCGCGCAACACTACCCACCCCCTTGCTTACACCCCCTCTACCCAGTGTGTGCCTCCCGGCCCTGAGCGCACGTGATACCACCCACCCCGCCCCGCCCCGCCCCGCCCCGCCCCGCCGTCCCAGCGCGATCTCCAGTTGGCCGCACCAGAGAGCCCCGCCCCCAGCTGGGGCGGAGCCTAAGCGCCTCGCCCCCTGCTGATCGGGCTCTGGCGTCTGGCGAGGGCTCGGCCGCCCGACCCGGCTGGCGCGCGGGCGGAGCCCGGGCGGCGGGGCTGCTGCTGGCTGATTGCACCGGACTGCGGGCCTCGACATGGTGAGCAGGGGTGGGCAGAGCAGGCAGGTAGGGGGAAGGGACGCACCGGATGGATCGGGGTGCGGCGCTGGCGGGTCGACGCGGCGGATGCCGCGCGCGGGCGGGGGCTCTTTGTCCTCCGCCGCGCGATTGGGACAAAGGAGGTGGCCGGGGGCGGAGGCTGCTTGGCTGGGCATCTACCCTTCTCCGTGACCCACGGTTCTACGTCCTGCGCGGATCCTTCAGGCTGCCCGGAACACTCACTCCGCATTGACGGGGTTCCTGGCAGCGCCCCAGCGTGGTCAAGATGGGATCGAGGGGAACGGGGGGGGGGGGGGGGGGGCCAGGGAAAATCTGGCGCTCGTTTCAGCGGTGGGGAGACTGAAGCTGAGCCGCAGCGTTTGGTCCCAGGTCGGGTCGGCAGTGATGGCGCGGCGTGGGCTTGACTGGGTCTCTGGGACACACCACCACCACCACCACCACCACCAAAAAAAAAAAAAAAAAAAAAAAAAAAAAATCCCAACCGGGGTCAGGCAGACTTGATTTGTCTTTTCAGCTGTCGTTTCCTCCGCAGCTGTCGCCCCCTGAACAGGCCCCTGCTTCCCTCGCCTTGCTTCTTCGGTAGAGTGGGAGAGACGCGGCGTCGCCTGGCACCGCGCCTGCACGCCGCCCGCGCTCTGCACGCGGGAGCTGCTGGGGCGGGAGCTGCTGGGGCGCTTGTCATTAGTATCTAGTCCTCTCGGCCCAGGTCACCTAGACTAGCCCCTAAGGAGGGGTCAAACACCGACTCACTGCGCTCAGCTTCCAGGAGAGAGGAGACAGGACAGGTATATGACGTTTTAGAATCGGGTTTGAAATCGGTTATATAGGATCGGGGCTGCCTGGATATCTGCACCTCCACTTTTAAACTGTGTGACCTTGGGCAGTTGACTTAACTTCTCTAAGCTACAGATTATTTGTCAAGTTGGAAGATTGGTCACTTCGCTCTAGTATTTTGGAGAGATCCACATGAGATATCGAACTCAAAAGTGTGGCACCAAGGAACTTTTTCAGCATCTACTATTATATCACTACCGGAGTTGTATGGCCAGACGGGACCCTGCCGAGTATGGGCAGGACTCAGGCTTGCGCTATGAGATTGCCGCTCACCTCCGGCAGTCCCCAAACTTCTCAGTCTTAGTTTCCTCTCCTGGCATAAGAACTGGGAGCAGGGTGGCATCTGGAGGAGATTTCTCTTCGAGAGGGGGAAGAGGTGGGGAGGAGCAATGGGCACAGCCACAGTAGATGTCCCCTTTCCTTCTCTGTTGCTGTTGGTCCTCCATCTAAGCTCTTGGATGGCAGAAGCCCTCGGTGATGTTACCTTTGGGGTTTGTCAGAGCGGAACCCGCAGCAGGAAATACTTCTGGCCTGGGCTTCCCTGAAGAGGATACTTGGACAGTGGCTTTGCTGGCTGATGAAGCAGTGCAGGAGCCCCTGGGTGTTAGCTGGCCCCGAGAGCAAGGCAGTATTTCTGACTGCCTTGGAGGCCCCGGGAGGTAGAGGCTTCGGGTGGGGTGGCAGAGTGGTGCCCAACTGAGTACAATAGCCTGGTGATGTGCCCAGTTGAGTGAGGAGCAGGCAGAGAAGAGGCTGTTTGTGACATTGGTCCAGGCCAGGCTCTGTGCCTTGAGGTACAGAGGTTACAGAGAAAAAGGGAGGACATTAAGAGCAGCGTGCTATGGGTTAAGAGAGGGGCTCGGCCTGCCTTGTTGCCTTCTGGGTGGGGTGAAGGATTTGTTTTGGGATCCATGAAGAGGTAGGGGTAACAGACACTTTTCCAAGGAGGACCTAAAGGAGATTGTGAATTTTAGGAGACCTCTACCCAGAGGTCACACTGTGTGTCATTTTGAGACCAGTGTGTTCTAGGGCCAGTTACCCATTGCTCTGGGCCATGAAAAACCCAGGCCCAAGGATTCTCGGCCATAGCAGACAGAAGCGGCTATGGAGTGGCCAGACCCATGATGACCAGTACTCACTTGGAACTTGTCACTGCAGCTCCTTCCAAACAAGGAACATGGTATGGCCTGTGCTCTAGCTGACCCTTTGCCTCAGTTTCCTCATCTGCAGAATGGGATCATCAAGGCAAGCAGAGAGGAGATAAGGTTGATGTGATGGCGTTGCTCTGAGGTGATCCTGGAACTTCCCTCAGCTTCCACCATGGGCCTTTGGTGGATGAAATGGAGCGGTCAGTGGTATGTTGAGGGTTGTATAAGCCAGATGGATGCAGGGCATCCCAGTATCCTCTGGGTTCTCCTTCTCTGTTGCCACCTTCCTTGCCCCAAGCATGAAGAGTTACCTTGGTTTTCAACCTTGGGTTACAACCCCTTTGGGAGTGGAACACTTTCATATGGGGTCACTTAAGACCTTTGGGAACACAGATAATTGTGATTCATAACAGTTGCAAAATTATAGTTACAAAGTAGCAAGGAAAATAATGTTATGGTTGGGGGTGAGCACAACATGAGGAACTGTATTAAAGAGTCACAGCGTTAGGAAGGTTGAGAAGCACTGAATTAGCTGTTCTGCTAGGGTGCAGGCCTGCCATGCTTACTGCCATGCCTTGCCCCTGCCCTGAACTTGAGTGAGGTCCTCATTTCCCCAAGGCATAGAGACCTGTGCTTAGGCATCTGGGAGAAGTCTGGACTTAGGGAACTGGCTCAGGGATAGTCCTCTGATTGACCCCATGAGAGCCAGCTGTCTTTTAACTCGTCACCACATTCCTGGGCTTGGAACATTCAGTCTTATTGAGTACATATGTACAATAGAGTAGCTGTGAACTTGAGGGACAGTGACCTTTTCTTAGACTCTCTGGAGGGCACAGGTCAGGAGATGACAGCCAGGGAAACATTCTAAACCAGAACTGCAGAGAGCTGAGGGCCTTAGGAAAGATGGGTGCATGTAGGTGCCGGCTAGTATGGGAAGAGGCAGCATCCGGAGTCCTGGAAGCAGCTCCAAGAGTCACTCCTGAGAAAGTGCCCAGTGCAGTACTACGGATGGAGGCAACCACAGGGCAGTTCATGAGGGATGGGCAGTAGCCAGGCTTGTAGGGGATACTGAGGCTACCTCAGGAGCCCTCCCTTCTGAGGCCACCACGTCTGGCCAGGAGTCAGCTTTTTCTAGATTACTTCTCAGGAAACGCTTGCTAAACGAGAAAAGAAACAAGAAGTCCATTAGGGATACGTGGAGGCCACAGGGCGGGCATGACTGGGTCACAGGTCATTGATTGTGCTTAGAGGTGAGAGGCATATACCTGGCTCTGTCCACCTCCAGGCCTGGGGTGGGCATAGTGGGCAGGAGTTTGAGGGCATCCCTCCTCTCCTGGGGTCCATCTGGACTTGAGCTGCCTGTACCTCAGTTTCTTCATTAGTCACAGGACAGCTGTTTCCCTCAGATCATGGTGCCATTGTTTGCTTTTGCACTTCTTATCCTGGAACCACCTCAAACTCCAAACACAAACTTCCCGTTCTGAATTGCTACTGCTTTGCCTTCTGGTCCAGACCAGAGGAGGATGTGTAAGTGGAGGCAGAGTGAGTGTCCTGTGTGGTCTGGCTGTGTGGGCTTGTGGGAACTGATGGAGCTAGCAGAGCTCTCTTGGGACACACAACTCTGGGAATGGGGGAAAGCCAGGGGCCAGGCAGCCAAGCCAGGGGAGGAAGCTTCCCTGGCCTTCTGGCTGGGAGAGGCTTCCTTCCTGGAGCTGTTGTAAACTAGGTCAGAGTTTCTTCCTTCACCTCCATGGGGGTGCCATTTGGGGCCAGGCTATTCTGCATTAAGGTTTTGGGAACGGTCCTATACCTTGAAGGGTACAGAGCAGAATCTCTGGACTCTGCCTACCAAGTGTGGCCAGGTGCTCTGTTACACGCACTTGAGACCTTGTGGTCAAAGGTCAGAGAATGGAGCACCCTGGGCAGAAGGAACTGTGGGGGTCAAAGGTCTGGGCCCAGGAGGATAGTGGAAGGCACATGGCTGGAGAGCAGTGAGCGGGAATGGGGAAGCACTTGGGCACATTCCATGTGCTCTGATTGCAAGAGTGGATGGGGAGCCAGGTGAGAGGGACCCTAGAGACTGTGAAGGTTGAGAATCAGAGGATGCTCCCCCTCCCTGCCTAGAGCTTCCCTGCAGACTGGCACAGGTGATGAGAATGGCATTTCTTGGTCATAGGGCCTGGTTCCTGGACACTGGGGCATTGATTGGCTGCCTGTGACCTTTAGGTAGACCTGACCCCTGGTCGCCTCCATGATTGAGTGAGAGTCATTTCTAATTAAGGGGATTATTACTCAAGGATGTGGCAGGTCCCATCACGTTTGGAGAGTGAATCTTACAGTGGCATCTACCTGGATGATGTGGATGGCAAGACTTTGGACATTTACGGTTTCCTCTGTGTAGGTTGTGCCTGGCCTGTGCAGGACATGCCTATGGGGTCTTCATCCCTCTCACTACTCTGGATGGACTCCTGACAGAAAGGCACTAGTAAGAAAGTGGGTGGCTGTAAGAGACTGGAGCATCCTGCTGCTTGCTTCAGCACCTGGGAGGCCACAGTAGCAAAGCCTTGACTGACTCCTTGGGGCTATGGCTGGCTGGGCTCTGGGGTACTGTTTGTGAGGAAGGCTGGAGTTCAGGTTCTCTGGGCCTTCTGTGTATCCCACAGGCTCCCTCTCCTTTACCACTCACAACCTTGGCTACGGATGAGGACTGGGGTGGTGACCTGGAGTTGTCTGAGATTGATGAGCTGGGAACAGCTCAGCTCTCCCTTAGCATGCCCGAGCCCAGCTGGCACTCATGCCCTGTTGCCACTCTAACAGGGTGATGTACCAGGCTCTCCCTCCTACCTTCAGAGGCCTAGTAATGCTGTCCCTGTATGGTGAATGCTCTTCCCTGCCAGTGAGGCCTCCTTGCAGTTCACCTGCTCTCCCAGTTAGCATCACAGCAACTGGTCCCTTGTGCTCCAGATGTGATCATACCTGAACTGACATTTGCGAGTGTTGACCTCTTGGTAATTTGGCTTCTGTACTAGACGGTATGCTATATATAGAAGGAGCGAGCACCCTTACCCCTCCTGCCTTCCCTGAAGCTTTCCCAGTACCTGTGTCTTCCAGGACCTGTTTGTCTGCCCTACATCCATAAGCGTCTTAAAAACTTGGGTCTCCACAGACCAGCTGTGGCTACATGGGGCAAAGCTGTCTGCTGTTGTGACTTACCCCTGGGTTCTAGAAGCTCAGACCCTGGAGCTTGGAGGTTGAGATGCTCTGTGTTACCTGATCCTCCCACAGGAGCTGATGCTGTTTGCTTCTGGATCCTTCCTCTCTAGACTCCTGGACCAGTTCTGGATACATACTGGTGGCTCATGCCTGATCCTAAGGCTCAGAAGGCTAAGGCTAGAGAATCATGAGTTTGAGATAGTCTAGGATACAGAGTGAGTCTCTGTCTCAAAGACAAACAAACAAAAAAAACAATGTTTACCTTCAACAGAACCAGATTAGTGGCCAGGCCTCTTGCAGCGTCTGCCTCAACTGCCATGGTGCCCGTTTCCCTTTTCATTGGAGGGGCTTACTGACAGTGGAAGCACCTGAGTGTCAGAAGTAGCTGGGGTTGTAGGCTGGGTGAGCATCTGGGCAGACACAGTGGAAAGCCTATCCCATGGTTGTTACTGGGTTGAGGGCAGGACTGGTTGAACTTAAGAACTTAAAAATAGACCCCAGCAAGGGCCAACTGGGCAGCTGAGTCCCCTACAGAGCCCCTTGTATAGTCTCTCCTGGCTTTGTCTTTCAGGACTATCCTGTGCAGCCCGAATTCCAGCCTCGTTGAGCCAGGCACACCAAGAGCTTTCCACCAAAGAAGCCCCTCCAAGCACTGACCATGTCTATTATGGACCACAGCCCCACGACCGGGGTGGTCACGGTCATTGTCATCCTCATCGCCATAGCTGCCCTGGGAGCCTTAATCCTGGGCTGCTGGTGCTACCTGCGGCTGCAGCGCATCAGCCAGTCAGAGGATGAGGAGAGCATCGTGGGTGATGGCGAGACAAAGGAGCCCTTTCTACTGGTGCAGTACTCTGCCAAGGGGCCATGTGTGGAAAGAAAGGCCAAGTTGATGACCGCCAACAGCCCAGAAGTGCATGGCTGAGCTGGGCTGCGAAGGCCATGGTTCTGTTTGCAGCCGTCCCAGAAGCACAGAGAGGGCAGAAGCAGACATGTTGCTATGTGAGAGGGGTTGACACTTGCTGGCATGGTCGCCTCAGGCTTTGTCATCGCATGCACTGACTCCAGGTCCCAGCTCTTCTGGCCTTCCCCCTCAGCCTCCTGGTGGACTGTCCATTGCAGGCAGTGGGCAGGCCTGACCTTGCTGGGGCTCATGGCCCCTTAGCGCTTTCGTTACTTGAATGTTTTAGCTGAGCCTGTTTTTGATGGAGCTACTACTGTAATGCGTGAACTAACCAACCTGTGAACTGTAAATAGGCCCAGAAGCACATGCTTAAGCCTTTTTGCCGATTTTTAAAAATACCAGATGGACTGGCATGATAATGATTCTACTCATGTGCACTGAGGTATGACCATGGAGGGTCTTCGACTGGTCTTGCCCCAGGTGCCCTCGGCAGGGTGCACTGAGGTCTTAGCTATGCGTACGGAAAGGAGGTGAAAGGTTAAGAAGCTGGGATGCTGGGGTAATTTCAACTTGCTTAGTAATGGAGAAAACCACACCCCTCCCCTTCTTTAGCTTCAGCTTTGTTAAATAACTGTGTAGACGGCAGAGCTACTGCAAGGAAGCTGTTGCACTTGCTTGGAAGCCTGTGAAGGACGAGACCTCTTGAGTCCCGAGGGTTGCCAGGCAGCTTAGCAGAGCAGTCTCTTGCCCTTTGGTTTTGAGCATGCCCAATACTCCCCTTCAGCACAGGCTTTGCAGAAACTGCTCTGGTCCTCTGGAAACACCAGAGCCTGTGGTGGCTACTTGAAGTCTGAAACCCAGAAGGCGAGGTTTTGTTTTTGTATTTAATATTTTCTGCACTGGAATGGGGGTTGGGGATAGGGGTGGCTTTCTCCCTCACCTTTTCACAAGTGAGCTTCCTTTCTTCTCCAGTGGGTATTGGGTTTCACTTTGATCCTTAGGGCTTTGTAGACAGAGCTCCCTGACCCAGCTCCCAAGACACTATGTGCCATAGAAGGTAATTTCTAGTATGCACATAGCATTTACAGCAGTCACCAGGAGTTCAAGTTGAGGGCCTGGTTCTCACAGGTAAGGGAGCCAGCAGCATGTCTCCAGGTTATTTCTTATGTCTATAAGCTTGCTCAGATGTTAGTCCCACCACCATAATAAGCATTCTAAACCATTATGATTAAACCTGACTGCTGGCACCCTTGGTGATGAATAGGTGGCCAGCTAGCCCTGGCAGCAGAGAGCTTCAGGTTAGTCTGGAGACAGCTTTAAAAAGCATGTGGAACTAATCCATTTTCTAGAACCCAAGGGAGGAGCTGTAGGGAACACTTATAAGCAGTTTATACCAATATGGGGTCGGGGGAAGCAGATGTTAAGAAACAGTCTGAGGTTACACAGGAAGGTAGTCAAGGATGGACTGGCCATAGGCAGAGGCTGCTAAGGCTGGCCTGGATGTGTGTTAGACCTGGGAGCAGTGACTCACTCTGTAGGTATAGGAGGGGAACAGAAATATCAAAGGATCTGCCTGGAGTTGTCTGAGGCGGAGGGGTCTGACCCATTCCCACCCCACATCTACCTTTCTACCTCTACTGCTTGCAGCCAGCAGCCTAAACACTGCTGATCCTTTTCTCCACCATCCACGGATCCAAGGCCAGCTCGGATCTATACCGAAGTGTGAGCCTGTTCATCGCTGTACTGTTAGATGCAGGCTGCAGCTTGTACTATGCCGATGACGTTTGTTTTTCAAACAGACATCATCACATTCTTATCAGTTACACTTTAGGGGAGCTTCCCATCACCCCCTGTTGCCAGGGGGTATCTTTTAAGTTTGAGTCAGTCCATTCAGAGGGGGATGAGTAAGTTCAGGTACTGTGGAGCACTGGTGGGGCCACAGGGAGGAGAATGAACACCTATAGAACTAGTGAACAACCATGCAAGTCTTCCCTGTCCTTGGTATCACTGGCTACCTTTTTAAGTGTGCACCAGAGCCATCCACTCCAGTGGTTAATAAGTTATGACTTCTCTTCAGATTCTTACCCAATAGTGTACTTATTGTGGTCAGGTCTTCTGATGATAAGAAGCTAGCCTTCATCCTGGGGAGCATGCAGGAATTCCAAGGCTAAGCAGAAGCAAGGACTGACTTTCCTAGATCTACATTCAAATGGACTGCTACTGTTGTGTCTCAAAGCTACCAGTTTGTGCAATAAGTGGAAGGGATGCCACTCCTGATCAATAATTGCTGAATGACATTCAAGTTCATTTTGTAGACCACTGAGAAAATCTTTATTTACAATAAATTTCAATAAAATTTGCATAACTATATTCCCAATGTACAGTCTTCACCTCTAGTTCCTTCATCTCATTCAAAAGTTAGTCTGTCCTGTTCTCCTGCTTCCTCTCTGAAGCCAGAGTGGAGCTGGTGGTGGAGGGCGGTGGAGTGTCACCAGGTAACTGGGTGGCACCCATGGACTTGGAGTGGTTGGGGCGAGACTTTCCCAGAGTGGCTGGTTCCTTAGCCTCACCTTGGCCCTCTAGCTCCCTCTCCATAGTGGCCACCAGGATCTTGAGCCATGTGTGCTCGGGGAGGGGGGTATCTGAGGCACGGGCCAGCTTTTGGAGCTCTCGAGCTTTCTTCAAATACAGAGCCTGCAGTTTCTGGCTGTGGCGCTGGAGTAGCCTGTGCTGTTTCTCCAGGGTCCGCTCCCGGCGCAGCAGGCGGTGTCCATCCCTGCGGGCACTAAAGAGCCGGCCCTCCACCTGCTCCTGTGTACGACGCAGGCTGCTCATCTCAGATCTCAGCTTCTGCATCGTGTTCTCCATGTGAGAGATGTGTTCATGCTGCAGGACTGCCTCGCTCTGGACACATTCTTGGGTAGGAGGGCTGATGCCAAGGTCCTGGGGAGCAGAGGCAGGGTCTGAGTGATGCAGAATGAACCGCAGCAGATTCGGGAGGGTGATAGGGAGGTCTCCAGGGTATTTCACACTTAGGTCCTTTCTGGAGAGGAAGGGAAAGTCAAAAGTGAAGTTCTCAATAGGCACAATGCAGAAACAAATGGGACTGGATGTCAGACTGGCCATTCTGACCAAGAAAAGATGCTGGTTTCTTGCTAAAAGGAGGGCAGTACTGCCCAGGCAAGTGGTTCTTTGTGGAGTTGAGGAGCCCCACAGATTTGCACTGTAGTTATTAAGACAATTTGAATAAAGTGTTTATCTGTTCCTAAGGACAGAGCTGTGTCTGTACTCAATCTCAGAGAGGTAACGCGTGCTTAGGCCTAAGCCCCACGCCAATGCATCAGGGATGGGGAAGAACGCTGTCTCTCCGTATGAGCTACATGAGCTGGTGACACAGTCCTGGGACAGGGCTGTCCTTGGTTACCATGGCTACTAACGGTGCTCAGTAAAACTGAAAATACAAACAAAACAATGTGCAGTATCTACAGCACAAAATGTTCTTAAATGAGGGGGACTGTACTCCAGACGGGACACTGGGCTCAAACCTGGACAGATGCTACTGACCAGTGTACCAACCAAAGGACTAAGATGAGTTATGGCTACTCAACCCTGATAGCACAGAGTTGACGATGTGATAGTAAGGGGTCCCTACACCATCCACGCTCTAATTCAGAACTGGTCATCTAACTGCTCAGCCTCCTAAGTCTCTCTCACAGGTACTGTGCACAGGCAACCTAGCCACCGTAACTGAAACATGTCTTTCTACAGTTCTCCCTGAGCTAGTCAATAGACAGGGACCAGCACTCTGAGAGTAAGGACCCCAAAGGCATCATCCATGCTGCCCTGCTCTGTGCCATATATTCTCAGACAAATGACTAGAGCTCTGTAGAATGGGATGGGAGTGTCACGTGTCTCACAGGGCCACTGGAAGGGTTAAATGAGTCAACTGAGTGTTGAACACTGACATGTTCAACGCATCTCACGGGTGTCTCATCTCTTCCTATCAAAAATCACTAGAGACTTAAATTAGATATGCCAGACTGCACGTGGTGACCCACACTGGTAACCTCAGCACTTAAGAGGCAAGAGGAAAACCACAAGTTTGAAGCTAGCCTGGACTATACTGTGAGATCCTATCTCACAACAAAAAAGAAACCAAGTTATAGACCCTTTTATATAATGTTTATTAGGGGTGGGGGGCTCTAAGTAGCTTTTTACAACTTTTTAAACTTTCATGTGAAAACAGAAAGAACTTCAAAGTTAACATGTCAGCCGTATCTATTACTAATCTGGTAAGTGCTTTCTACATTAGAAGAAAGGCACTCGGAATGAGCCCTATCGAGCAGCGAAGGGCCAAGTGGTGGTGCAGCATTCCATGGCAACTGCAACAGCTCAGCATGTCCTGGAGGTGTTTCAGAGTGAGACGGTCAACAGAACCCTCTCACGTTTGTGGCAATGCTGCAGTTCCCTACAATGCTCTCATGCCTTCTATTTACTTTTTGTTATGCTTTGGTTTTGGAGACAGAGTCACAATCTATAGCTCTGGCTAGCCTGGAACATACTATGTAGACCAGGCTGGCCTCAAACAGAGATCCAAATGTCCCTACACCTTGAGTATTCATTCAGATTAAATGCACCTCCACACCCAGCCCACGCCTTTATTAAAAGAAAATTTTAGTTGTTTTTTCAAGTTAAGGTTTCTCTGTATAGCCCTGGCTGTCCTGTGTGGACCAGGTTGGCCAAAACCTCAAGAGATCCGTCTGCCTCTGCTTCTCAAGTAAGTACCGGGATTAAAGAGGTGTGCCACCACCACCCTACTTTCTTTTTTTTTAAGCTCAAAATGTTGAATTTGTTTGTTTGTCTGTTTGTAGACAGGGTTTCTCTGTGTAGCCTTGGCTACCCTGGAACTAGGTCTGTAGATCAGGCTGTCCTCAAACTCAGGGATCCACCTGCCTGTACCTCCTAAGTCCTGGGAAAGGACAGGGTTTTTTGTTTTTTGTTTTGTTGTTGTTTTCCATGTTTAGGACACAGAATATCTATAAACTGCTTCCAAAAAGAAGTTCTTTTAGTCTGGGAATGGTAACTCCCATCATTAATCTCAGCACCCAGAAGGCTAAGGCTATCCTGGGTTACATAGTGAGTTCTATACCAGCTTAAGATACAATGTAAGATTCTTGTCTCAAAAAATAGCTCCCTCCCCATCCTCCAAACAGGTCATTGTCCTCAAAGCATGGTGCTGGTTAGAGCTCCCCAGAAGCAGTTAAATTCTTCTGGGGCTAACACTAGGGTGTCCTTGTGGAGCATATACCAACATCCCCTAGCCCAGAGTTAGGCCAAGGTGTCTGTAGTTTACAGTGTCCTCCAGAGTAGGGTCTAGACTGGCTCTAAGAGATCCCTATGAAAGAAGGTGATGGTCTGCATTCCAGCCTTCCCTCCTCCCACTTGTCATGAAGAGAGGTAATACCAGAGCAGAAAGAGGCTAGGCATAGACAGGCTGTATTGTGGGCAGAAGGCAGGACTCTTTGCAAGACTCTTGTCATCTATGACTGCAGTGAGGCACAGTCAGTGTAGACAGCAGGAGTGTAGAGAGCATACAGGCAGCATCTTCCAATGCTCACAGCCCTCACACCTCAGAAGCAGCCATGTCGACACCTTCTTCCTCTGCACAGCTCTACTTTGTGCACAGAATTTGCATTTTCCACAGTGCACGCACAAACTTTCACTAAAAATAGCAGGAGCAGGTGAACATGAAAACAGTCTTGTTACATGTGATCCTACAGTGGTTTCATTTCCTCTTCTGTGAGCCTTTGGACTTGATAGCTGATAGTCATGAACCACTTTCCGTCTTAGAGGCTGCCTCACTCAAATGACTTCTCCCTGCCGGGCCACGGCTGATCTCTTACCACCTTCTGCCCCCTTTTATTTATTTTTATACAGGCAATAAATAAATAGTCACATTATGCTTGTCTCTTCTACCTTCTGGGTAAGCTTCTGGTAGTGCTCTCTGGACCAGCTAATAACTTGTGTTCATTTTTAGGAAATGAGAAAAATCTCATTCTAAAGCAACAGACTCTGATTTAAACTCTCCATTTTAACAGATGTGGACAGTCTTCTCTTCAGTATCAAGGGACAAAGGAGGGGTTATAGGGACCTGTGGTTTCACTTTTTGACTGGTTTGTTTGTTTGTTTTTTTGACCCAGGGTCTCACTTTATAATTCTTGCTAGCTTTCAACTCAAAAGAGCTCCACCTGCGTCTGCCCCCCAAGCTGGAATTAAAGGTTTTTGTCACCTGGCCTGCACTCGGTCTTTTACTATACAAGGCAGCACCAGAAATGGGATGCTGGCCATGGATGTTCCTTCCCGTGGTCACCTGCCCTGTAGGTGTCTTATCATGTGCTGTAACTTTAGTATCATTATACTACATGCCCAGCTGTGTCACACACAGATGGAATTGCTGGTGTTAGTGTCCCATGATTTCTTGATTATATGGCAGTTTAAACATGTCGTGGAAAGAAGAGAGTTCATTGTGGCAGAGCCAACAGTGGAGTCACACTGTTTATAGTGTGTGATCTGACAAGCCCCTGCCACCTACCACAGGAAATATTGTAGCACACGTTCTCTGAGATAAAGGGCAAAAACAAAGACAATGAATGATTCGACAAAGCAAAGGAAGCCCTCTGGCAGAGGCCAGTAGGCAGAGCAGTGCTGCAGTGGCTTATAAGTGCCAAGGGCCAGGCCTCCTGAAAGGACCCTGCATTTCCCACATGCCCACAGAAGTGTGAACGGTGCCCATGTGGATCTGTTCTGTACCCAAAGGGAAGCTGTGTGTGAGTGACATGGGAGCCAGCATCCAGCTTGTTTGGCTTTAGAGTAGAGTTCATTTCCTTCTTTGTGGATATGTTTGGGCCTACACTTATAATCAAGCCCAACCTTCCTTGCTAATGTCCCATGCCTGCCTGCTGGAGCTTTCAGCACAGCTGGGTGACGCACAACTTCAGAGCAGACTGTACACATGCAGAGAGGGCTCTCCATGACTGGAGCAGTGGGTAGGGAACTGTCAGTGCCCTTGAGCGAGAGAGACTCGTGGGTAACAGTGGGATTCATCCCACACAAACGTGAGCGTTTTTCTGTCAACTGTAGCATCTTTATAGGTTCACACAGGCTATCTAGCTGCCAGGGATGTGCTTGGTAGCTTGAGGGGAAGGAAGGCTAGCCTGGTCTATATAATGAGTTCTAGAACAGCCACAGCTACATAGTGAGGACCTGTCTCAAAAAACAAAAACAAATAATAAACATCATAATACATCACATTCCAACACCAAAGCTCTTCTACTCTGTATCGCTAATGGCAGTATCTTAACTATAGTTTAGAATATA